CTACTATGACAGACGACTTCGGACTAGGTGCGTTCTACTAAGTCGCTCTGACAACAAGACCAAGTTGCGAAAACGAGCTCAACCCATTTGCATATTATATTATGTTGTTATATCATGTATTATTTTTATGCATTTTATTTTTACTTCATAAAATCGATATGCCTGATATCATTACGGTTTGTATGCTCTTTAGCTTGGACCCGCTGCCTGAAAGAGTCAAGAAGGAATGAAGTCATGACAAATCGAGTAAAAAGGCATCTAATTCTCGTTGACAGTTTAGTTTGAAATTATCAAATACGGCCAACTTACTGTAACCTGTTCTTCTCGTAAGCCCGCAGCTGCAAGTCTTTTGTTATTACATTCAACACTCGGTTTCTCTCCTCATTGCTAAGAAAGGATAAATCCAAATCTTTCAGGCTCTGGAATAGACTCAGACTAGAAGTTGCGAGATTAGGACTGCTTGCAGACATGCCGCCTGTTGAAGTGACGAGATTAAGAGCCGCCTGCTTGTCTGGTTTGCAATTAAATGAGGCCACGTTCGGCTGATGAAGCTGAGGCTCAGTCGTGAATTTAGGCGACAAACTCGATAAGACGATTTCCGGCATATTCTGCCGGTCTGAAGATGCATCGTGTATAACCGACAACGGCCAGCTCTGATTTGACGAGTTCTCTGTCTGTTGGTGGGCCTCGACTGGTACCGTAGGGCGAAACGAGGCTTTGCCACCGAGCTGATCTGCAGACGTGAGTCTGTAGCCACACTTTGACATGCCGACGACTGTTGAGTTGGTCGTCACCATGCCCCGGTCACCTGCAACCTCGACGCTTAGACCCTGGGTCTCAAGACCCTGTACCGGCGTCCCCGACCAACTCGACGGCCCATCCTGTCTGGTCCTATCGAGCTCGAGCAGCGTCACTTGGCTCTGGTACCGAGGCGTATCCTTGTATCTCGAATTCTTCATCACGTCGGATGGACTCGAATTGCCCGAGAAAGGCTGATCTGTAGCACTTATATGGGTTTACGGGTCACCAGACCCAGCTGAGAGGGCTCAAGAACCCCATGTTGTGTGTACACACAAAAGGTCAACTAGAAAAGGTCTCTTCAGGTCCCACTTGAGCGGTGTTTGACTGCAAATGTTGCCCAAATCGAGCATTAAGTTGCATGGATCACGCTTAATCTATTTTTTGATGAATTACACAACAACCTGTCTGAGACCGGGCCTTACAGATAAATTCTTTCTATAGGTTTCACAAAGTTTCTATCAATGCAGCAATCAATAGTGAAGGCAAGTATCGATCTTGATACAGAGATTTCTAGACAGCCGTCATTGTTTCTGGACCTCTCTTTTGTTTGTTCATTCAAGTCTGCACTTTGCAATCTAAAATATTGTGGACTTTACGCGCAGGATTGGCGTGGCTCCTTGCCTAATCGGCCATACACACATTGTCATCCTTCTCTTCGTGTTAGTCGTGTTGCCGGGATGGTCTGTCGTAAGGATAGGCCAATTTTGTTAATCTAAGCATAAAAGAGAAATTTGCTGAAAATCTTCATTTTCGACAACCCACAAGTTGCTGACTCGTGTGTCAATTGGACGTTCTTAAGTAAAATTGCCAGTCATTCGGTACTGGTTCAGACACCCTTAGATCACACTCTTTACAGGAGGATGGAAAAGGTAAATCTTATGCGAAGAGATTTAATTTTGAAGAGATACCAAAACAGTGAACTAATGCTAGTAAAAATAGCAACAAATTGGCTGGAAAAAATTAGATGCAAGCATAATAAGTAAATTAAGCAAATGGAAATATTGAAATATTATTTTTCGTTTTTAAGTAAAGTTTCGAGAGGTTTCCAATGAATATCCCATAGCCTTGCTTCCCCAAAGGTATTTTCACTGCAGTGCACTGCAGTTGCGAAACTGCGAGGTCGAAATTGCAGTCCCCCAGGGATAAGAATACATTTTCGGAATTATATTGTATGCAAAAATCAATGGAAATGTAAAGTCTGCTCATATCATTGTGGGAAAATTAAACTACCAGCAGTTTATCACCATAAAAAAGATTTGGTGAACACATACCAAATAGCAAAACTAGCTTAATATGCAGCGCTCTTGTATGGATTTTATAAAGATTTGTAACACTACTTAGTCAATTATTTTAGTAGTAACATTATATTAATATTTATTTAGTATTATTTGATATTGAGTATTAAGTTAAGTAAAAATACAAAAAAACATTGTAATTCGAGCCTAACCTATGACTTACTAGAATTCAGGTTCAATTGCCGAGTGAAAATGTGTTGGCGGTTGTTGTGCCCCTTCCTGATATTTTTAGATCCAGGGTAATATGAAATCCAATAAATACGGATAATTTTTCTCAAGAAGCTTCATCACATAAAGACCTATGGTCATCAATATTTAATTAAACTTTATAGATACTAAGAGTAACTGAGTCATGTATGTCCCTCGGTCTTTAAACCTTGATGGACCGGTAGACAGACAAACAATCAAGTATAGGTGCCCTGATTAATATTAAATAGAACTAACTAATTCATTATATATATATATATATATTACAATAGACTACGACGTGTAGTGAAGGCTTTAATATTACCAGTAGAACTTAAATAAGAATTGCAGATGCAAAG